AATTTATCCTCTTCATCCTAATTCCTTCTATCATTTTAATTTCTTCATCTTTTACTTCCTAAACCCCCCCCACTATCTACTTTTATTCCTTCCTTTCACCTCACAATTTCTTTACACAATTACACATTTCACACAATAATATACCATCCAACACCACCAAAACAAACCCCCATAACACCTAAAATTCCTTAATCTTCTTTCAAAAATAAAAAAAAAAACCATTCCCCACCCCCCACAAATCATCCCCTCTCCAATATACCCCCTCACTACTACACTCACACAACCCAACCCACCACCTCACTCCTCCAACTAAAAATCATTCATTTCCAATCCCTCCTCTTAACACCATTTTCATCATAATAACATCCAACATCTAAAAACACAACATAAAAACCCATTCATTAAAAAACACACAACCTTAAACTCCATATCATCATAAATTCACTTCAAAAAAAACCTACCCCATCAACCACAAACCACCTAAAAAAACATACCACAATACACCCAACAAAAAAAACCAAAATAAAAAATAAACTCATCATCTACTCACATTCATCAAATACATATCAATATCACCTTATATCCACCTATAATCTACTCCCTCATCTTATAAACCTATCACTTACACTACCCAAAACCACCTTCATCATATACACCTTATCTTAAAAAAAAAAATCACTTAACACAATCCTCAAACACTCACAACAACAACCTTATACCCACTACCCTTAAAAATAACCTCATCTAAATCAATCATCATAAAAAAATTCCCATCCAAAAACACACACATTTATATCACTTCACCTTATCAAACAACTTCATCTAAAAACTCCTCATCTTAATAATAAAACTATACAAATATACACACATTAATATACCATAACCCCTTAAAACACCTTCATCTATACTACTTCATCTAAATATCACATACTTATACTCACTTATCTTAATACACACTTACATAAAATACTTCACCTTCTACTAAACTTATTTCATAATACATTCAATTATCCATCTTTCATATATACACCACCACCCCAAACTCACCCCAAACCCATAAACCATCACCACTAACAATAATCATAAACTAACAACACCCCACTCATTCACAAACTCAACATCCCTCATTAAATTAACATAAAAAAACACTACACTCCCTAATTCCACCCCCAATAATACACAATCCACCTATACCTATTAACTACTATTTACTATCTATACTCATCTTCTATTCAATCCCTCATATTCTCTCTAACTCTATTCAATAAAAAAATACCCCCACCAAAACAACTCTAAAAACCACACCCCATAAATCCTCATAACATACTAAATCCACACCTTTCACACAATCTACATCAAAACCCCTATAATACCCCCTCCCCAATCCTACAAAACCAAAATTCAAAAAAAAACACCCTAAACATCAAAAAAACCCCTCACTACCCACTCCCTAAACAACATCACACCACACACAATCTACAATCATCACTACACCAACCCACCACCTCAACCTACACTCACATAAACCTTATCCCACCTAAACCACAAACTCACCTACTCTCACTTCCTCACTCATCACTCTACAACTCACTCATATCATCTCACTCCTCTCACTCACTCTCTCACTCTCTACATCACTCAACTCCCTACACCTATCCTTCACACAATACCACACACACAAATCACTCTCTACACATCACTAACTCACTACTCACTCCTCACTACTCACCTCACTCATCACTATCATACTCATAAACTCTCTCACTCACTCACTCAACACTCACTCACTACTACTCATCCCTACTACACACTCACTCATACTCATCATTCTAACCATCATATCCCCCAAACCCCAACCCCCTTCACAAACACCACTACAACCCTAACAAACACTTCAAAAACTCCCAACCCACACCCCAAAATCCCCCCCCTCCTCACCCACTACCACCACCCCTCCCCTATCACAACAAACCACCCCACACAAACCCCCCCCCCCCCCCCAAACATCTCACAACAAAACCACAACACAAACACCAAAACACAAAACAAATCCCACAAACACACCCAACTAAACTAACCAAATAAAAAACCTAAACCCTAACATCCCACTTAAACAAACATAACCAACAACTCAACAACAAAAAACCAACAAAAACCAACAAACCAAATCAAACACCCCTCACACCCCCAAAAACCCACCAAACTCCCCAACACCAATCCATCCCCCATCTAAACCACTTAACAACCCCAAACCCACAAACACAAACACCCTCCAATAACCCAATAAAAAACCCCAAAACAAAATTAAAAAACAACCACACACACAATAAAACCACCCAAATATAATCAAACAAACTCATCACCACTTATAAAACAATTTCTCTTTTCTAAACATTATCCAATCAATAAACAACCAACAACCACACCCCCCATACATACTACCACAAAAACATCCAACCCACCCCCCAATACTCCAAAAACACACAAAACCCAAACAAACATCACTTACTATTCCATCTCCAATATCTCTCACTATTAAAACCCCCACCCCAACCCCCACACAAACCCAAAAACATACCCAAAACACACACAAAAAAACATACCAATTCCCACATATAATCCCAATCTAAACAAAACCCCCTAAACAAAATAACAATCATAAAAATATTTATCTTTTCATAAAAAACAACAACACAAACACTACACAAAAAACCAAATAACCTAACAATTATCAAATTACAACCCTTAACACCCACCCCAACAACCCCATACACCATCCATCACAAAACAACCCAAAAAATACCTATCCAAACAAACAACAACCCACACAACAACAACCACAAACAAAAAAAAACAAAAAACACAACAACAACACCAACAACACAAAACACAACAACACAAAAAACAAAAAACAACACAAACACAAACACAACAAACAACAAAACAACAACCCAAACAAAACCACACCAACAACACAAAACACACAACACAACAACACACAAAAACAAACAACAACAACCACAACAAACCAAAACAAACAAAACCACAACCAAACAACAACACAAACCAACAACCACCACCACCAACAAACAAACAACAACACCCACCCACAAACAACAACAACAACAACAACAACACTCAATAACATTACCCCATCCAAAAAAAATTAAAATCAAACATCATAATACTCCCAACTCACTAAAATATAAATCAAACCACACCCCCCCAAAACCCACATACATCCCAATAAATATTTCTTATATTATATATATATCATACTTCCCAAATAAACTAACACAACTACTCATCATTATCTTTAATCCACGCAACATACTTACACTACCAAAATCCCACAATACCCACAAAATTAACATACCCCTCCACTCCCTCAAAAAACATTATTAATTAACCCCACACAAAAATATCAAAACTAACACAACAACTATTTCTACACTCCCCACTTCACCAACCCATCAAAATACCTACATAATTACACCAAAATACATAATTAAACCTATCTAATTTAACCTAATACTTCACCTACCACATCCCCCCTATTAATTAACTATCTAATTCTCAACCCAACTAATTCACACTTCTAATTAACCATATAACTCCACTTAAACCTATAATTACACCTATTATTTACACTACTAATTCAACCTATACATCCCCCTATACTTTAACCCACAAATCCCTATCTACATTAACCTCCACTAAATTTAACCATACTAAACACACCTAAAAAACACCAAAAACCCCAAACAATTCAAACCCCCACCTACATACAAATACTACTCACACAACTCCACCCCCCCCCAACACCATAATAACCAAACAAACACCACAAACAAACCACAAACAAAAATCAACAACAAATACACCCCCCAACTCATCCCCAAACACCACCAACTCCAATCAACTCATAAACCCCAACCACAATACACCCAAAAAACCACCAAAATCCCCCCAAACTCACACCCCTATTATATACTAAAAAAACCAAAATACACCCCCCTAATTCAACTATAACTACCCACACAATCCCACACAAAAATCCATCCCAATCACACCACCAACAATCACACCAACAAACAACACCACTACAACAACCAATAATTTAAACATAATTACTAACATATACAACACAAAACCACCAACAAAAAAACCCTACAACCAACAACCTAACTCACAACAACCCCCAACACACACCCCCCCCCCTCCCCCATAACCTCCACCTCTAAATCTTTACAAACATAATATCCCACTCTCACCATAATCATAACAAACTACTCCACACATTTTCATAATCTTTCAAACACAATTTCCAATCAAACTAAAAATTCTAATCACAATAATCTAAAACCATATCTAATATATACTCACCAAATTTCAAAACAATTACTCTATTCCCCAACTACTCTATATTATCATTTTTTAATAATTCAATAAATTCTTTTCTTAAATAATCCTTTTTTCCTCATTACACCATAAATATTATTAATACTATTTAAAAATTTCCTACCCAAATCTTTTAATTTTCCCCTCTTATTCTCCTTATTTATCTTTATTATTCTTTATTATCCTTTATTTTTTTTCCCAACTTTATTTTACTAATTCATCTTTCTCTTCTCCCTCCCCTTAACTTACTCACTCATCAATCAACTCAAAAATAAACAACTATATATACTTTCAACTTCCTCAATCATATACCCACACCTATCTCCCCCATTCAAAAATAAAAAAATCACTCCATCCATCTAAAATACTTCATCTCATCCCTCCCCCCTCTAATTAAACTTAAACAATCTATCTCCCTCTAAACCCCTCCAACCTCTTTCCAATTCTTTCTATCCCCCCACCCCATCCATTACACTCTCATCAACCCAATTTCTAATTACCCTCTACATCTACCCCCTCCAAACTCTCCAAACCTATTATCACTTTCTCTTTCCTCTTAACCTACCTTATCCCACCCTTATCCCACCTTCCATCTTATTTTACGCCCGCGGGCCCCCCCGGGCACTGGGCGCGGCCGGGGTGCGGGGGGGGGTCGTGGGGGTGAGTTTAGTGTGCGGGACCCGGAGAGGCTCTCGGGTCGGGTTTGGGGGTGGGCCCGGGCCGAGCGCACGGCGGACGGGGGACCGGGGCGGGAGGCGCGGGGGATTGAGTGGTGCGGGACCGGTGGTCCAGATATAGACCGCCTGTGCTGAAAACGGCGGGTCGGAGGCGAAGGAAGGGGGGCGCCGGGGCCAGGGGGAGGCCGCGCGCCGTGCGCGCGCCGCCCGACGGGTGTGGGCCACCGCACCCCGGGGGAGCGCGGTGCTGGGAGGGGAATTTGCGGGAGGGCTGGTTGGCAGGGCCGGCGGGGGATCGCGGGGGGTGCGAGTGAGCGTGGGGGGGGGGAGGGGGGGTGAGTCCGCGGGGTTGGCGCCGCCGGCCGGGCGGCAGAGGGGGCGGAAGTGAAGAGCGGCTGGACGGGGTGGTGTGGGAGGGATCGCCGCAGCTGGCAACCCCTCGGTCGCACGAGTGGGCAGGCAGGTGCTGGGTGCCTCGGCGGGGGTGCCCCGCCGGGTCGTGGTATTTTTTATTCTTTTTTTTCTTTTTTCATTATTTTTTATTTTTTTTATTGCCCCCCCCTCTATTTATTTTTTTTTTTTTATTTTCTTCACCCCCATCCTTTTTTTTCTTTTTTTAGGCGCTGACGCGTCCGTCACGCACCGCCACCATTTGTTTTCACCATTGTGAAAGCAATAGGCCCTTACCCCGTTCGGGGCTCGGGCCTAATAAATAAATAAAAAAGGATTTTTTTTTTAAACGTCTCGAGCAAAAACAATATAGGTTTCAATGGCACGTGATACATCATTTTAAAGCGTTTGAGTTTACGCACGCAACCGTCACATTTTGGTGAGTGACGGGCGCTGACGCGTACGTCACGCACCGCCACCATTTGTTTTCACCATTGTGAAAGCAATAGGCCCTTACCCCGTTCGGGGCTCGGGCCTAATAATAATAATAATAATAAAAAATAAAGGAAAGTTTTAGTGCATTTTGATAAATTTTTCTTTCACTACATACATAGTGGCGATAAATCACTATTGTAGCCGCAGCTGCCGTGGGGCACACTGACAGAAGGCGAGGCAACCATCATTTTAGCAGCATTTACTTTACTTTTTAAATTCTAAAACCATGTGTGTAAGTTTGATTTTCCATATTATTTTGACCTTCACATTTCTGATCTTGAGTCGACTTGAACTATGAACAGATGAAGATGAGATGAAGGTAAAAAAAACCCAGAAAAGTTAAATTATTGAGATAATTATTATAGAAGCATTGCATTTCCAGTCCATCATCCAGACTTTATCTTTTGTTCATTAAGTTTAATCTTGGAGAGACTCTGGACAGTTTTTCTTCTCTATTGGATTTATTTTTGTTTTTACGTTCGTTCAGGACTGAGCCATTAGACACAAACTCTGGTAAAACAACAGTCTTTAAAAACTCCCTGACAGTGATTTATGACGGAACACAAACCCGTAAGAGCCGCGGTTATCAAGAACTGTGCACAGGCAGAACATTTAGAGGCAGTCTCATAAAAGCAGCACCGGACAATATATGTTTACACCTTGTTAGAGTTTTAATTCCCCAACTGTGAAAAGAATAATTTGATTTTAATATCAGAAAATGCCCCGTAGCTTTCACAGACCTCAGTCCTCAAATCTCATCGTTTTCGCTCTCGGTGCAAACAAGTCAAAAGTAGATATAATTGTAATCTACGTACGTTTCTCAAATATATAAATTAAAAATATTATTATCAACTGCAAATCACGACTCAAGATTTTTCCACTTCTACGAATTAAACTTATATTATCAATGAGATGTAGTTACTGCTGTTTGAGAAACGCTTATGATGGATTTTCAGCCAATAGTCAACCACAACCTTCTATTTTGGGTCTCAAAAGCTAAGCAGGGAAAAGACTGGTTAGTTCTTGGATGAGAGACCGCTGTAGCATCAGGAACCAAAGACATGAAAAAGTCCCAATGGTTTTCCAGATGTGGCTGTTATTATTCTTTTTATTATGTCTGGAAGGTCTTTCTACAAACTAAATAGATTGTAATTGATATGAACTGACAAAGAACAAGTCAACTTTTTTCAGACAGATTTTTCAGCTGCCCTCGACAACAAGTTTGAACGATATACTAATCAATTTAAAGTATTTTTTTCAATAAAAGAGCTGTATACAGTCTGGTACACAGAGAAGATCCCAACATGGCCATTACATATACAGTGTTGGTCGTACAGCAGTGGTGAAAAAAGTAAAATAAATCACACATACGCCAATTTCCCTCAACTACATTCTCAGGTCGGACGGGAAATCAGACAAAACCTCTTTAGAACAAACGTGATTTCAGAGTCGACAACACGCGGGAGGATGTGAGGAAGTTTGTTTTTTACTCAAAAGACAGTTCAAGTCGTAGTTTTACCGTAGGGCTGGGCGATAAAACGATAACGATATATATTGCGATAGACATGTGTTCGATATCAATGGAAAACGGGGTCGATAGAACTTTGATAGTTTCACTTCAGTCCGTTCGAAAAAAAACAGGAACAAAACACAGGAAGTAAAGCCGAGTCAGAAGCGCGCGGCATTCTGGGGGATGTAGGCAAAGGTTTCTCGATCTATCACAGCAGACCACAAACCGCAAAACTTTCTGGGAAATGCAAAAAAACGTAGCGTACATGGATCATGGATCTATTATAATAGCCATGGATCTACAGATGGTGTTTCAGTGTCAATGGTTAAACACGTCCGTGCGAGGAACAGCATGTGCGGCGTTAGAGGCAGTGGGTACAGAGACTCCATGCATTCGGCAAAAGCAAGAGATTAACTTTTTCCGGAGCGTCACAGGGACACAAGACGCTCGAAAACAGCCAAAACAGGAGCTAAACCAGGACTAAACCAGGACTAAACCAGGACTAAACCAGGATTAAACCAGGACTAAACCAGGACTAAACCAGGACTAAATCAGGATTAAACCAGGACTAAACCAGGACTAAACCAGGACTAAACCAGGACTAAACCAGGACTAAACCAGGACTAAATCAGGATTAAACCAGGACTAAACCAGGACTAAACCAGGACTAAAGTGGGGGAGACTGCTTGTGAACATTTGGCTCCAGCCTCATTCCCCCGTGACTGTAAACAAGGCTGCTAACAATCAATATATATCGTCATCGACCGATATGAATGACTTATATTATGATATATTTTTCAGCCATATCGCCCAGCCCTAGCTTCCAGTATTTCCAAAGCCGCTATATGTCACCTCGCTACATAATTTATCTTTCTGATTGATTCCCGAAGTCACAATCACCAAGTTTGAAGAAGAAGATACACTTCATTGATCCCACAATGGAGACATTCGGTTGGATGAATAGTCATATACACAAATCACATCCAGTGTGCTGTTACTTCTGCGCTTACATGGGGTAAAGTGTCTTGCCCAAGGACACAACGACAGCAGTACTCAGTGGGAGTCGTTGGAGAAAGTCTTAAGGTGTGCTCAAACCCAGGACCTCCAGGCTCAAAGGGCAACACCTCTACCAGCTGAGCCACTGTCGCCCCAGGACGCCACACACATTTTGGGCTAGTTTCTCGTCAGGACGCCACACACAACTAGAAAGTCGCCCAGAATCATCCAACATGTTGAAAATCCCTAATTTGAGATCGGATCGGCCTCGACTTCTATCCGGTCAGACGTCGCAGATGGGGATAGACTTGATCGTGATGGAAGGATGTTTAAGATTGGCCTGTTTTTCCTGCCGTTTGTCAGTTGTATTTTTCATTTACCAACGACAAAAACCTCCTCGTGGCTGAAACCATAACACAATTTACAATACAATATATTCTTGTATCGCCCTAAATCACAACAGAAGTCATCTCATAGACTTAACAAAACCATTGAAATCACCAACACAGGTCAGAGAATCAACAGTTAAAACACATAAAGAATATAGAACACATAATAAATGTCACACATGTAGAATGTTAAAGTGTCCATCACCACAGTCCTTCTAGTTGGACACTAACTGTCCAACAGACTCCTGCATCAGAGGAAAAACTCATTAGAAAGCCCAGTGGGAAAAAGTGAGAAACCTCGGGGAGACCCATGGTTTGAGAGAGGGATCCGCTCCCACGGACGGACGGGCTGTAGATCCAGAACCATAAGATAAGATAGAGTTCATTGATCTCACTCTGTAGAATTGTACGTGTCACTTTTGGCGCAGATAGAATAACTCAGATTTTTGCAAAAGACAGAAGTGTGAAGAATATGTACAATTAAAGAAACAGTGTCCATAGTGCAGGTCTTTTAGTCCGACTCTTGATCACTCTTGACATCACAGATCACAGACATCCCATTAAACAATCCTCTCCCTGATTAAAACTACATTTCTCCAGGTCTCATTTGCCGTGGGTGATCCCCGTGGCCTCTCTCTCTCCATCAGCCTTTCCTCTTTACCAACACAAACTTCCCTAAAGTTTGTACGCTTGAATAATGTAACATCCTAAACCCACTGCTCCGAGGTCCACTCCAGCTTCTGCTTCTCGAAAAGCCTTTCTGCGGATCACGCTTTTATTCCCGGGATGATAATGCTTTGTAGTGTCATTTTAATTAATACTTAACCCGAGATCTTATTTAGGCCTGGCTTTGAGCAGTGGAAATCTCGCTTGCGTGTGTAAAAAGAGATTTAATAAAGACATAGCAGCTTCTTCCATTGCGGCTGATAACACGTCCCTGCGGACATGACCGAAGATTACAAGCAGTGGTTCTTTGTTGCGCGACTTAGCCGAGGTCAAGAAGGGAACGCCATTATTCTTACGTTCTTTCCAAAATAGTTTTTAAAGACCGGAGCGAATCCCAGGACTCCACTCTGCAGTGTAACAGAAGCATTAGCGAGGTCGATACCTGCAAATGATCCGTCTGGTTCTTTCTCTGCGCGGCCTCGTTTGGGTAATTGCTTCGTGAAACGTTATAGAAGTTGTAATGTCAGGTGCGTAATAGAGTTTGATCCACGGGCGAAAGATGGAGAAGGAAAGATAAAACTATGAGGCTAATCAAATGTGCATTTTTTCTACTTTCTTCTTGACTTCAACACTGGATTTTTAAATTGCATTGAACTTGAAAGAAGAATTTCTTTTGGTAAACTCTAGATAGACAGACAGACAGACAGACAGATAGATACTTTATTGATCCCCGTCGACGAAACTCAGGTGTCCAGTAGCAGCAAAAATAGAAAATAAAATTGCTTCAAAAAAGCTAACAATAGTAAAAATCAGCCACAGCCCTTTAGGTCACAGCAGCAGAGGTGGAGTAGTCTCTGGGTGGAGCAGGACGGGTCACAGCAGCAGAGGTGGAGCCACTTGCTTCGGACCATTTTCTCTGCTCTGGTCCAAAATAAAATGCTGAATGGTTCACAGTGATGGGCAAGCTACTTGATTTGTGTAGTGAGCTAAGCTACAAGCTACTCTACAATAAATTCAGCTTCACTGCACAGAAGCTACCACCCATACAAACGTAGCAAGCTAAGTTACAAAATTCTGTCAAAAGTATCTTGCTATATAGAAGCTATTTTCAATTAAACAAACTGCAGTTCATGCAATTTTATATTTTCCTGCATTAACATGTTTGCTCATTTCTTATTTTTTGCACAATTCTTGAGTGTTTTATCCATGCCAAATGTGACATGTAAATGTCTCCTGTGTGAGATTAATAAAGCTTATCTTCTTTGAGATAAACTGTCAGTCAGATAAAGGTTAAAATGTTGTAGATATTTATTGAACAATAGCCCAAAACACCAAAAACAACAAAGAGTAGGCATCTGAAAACATATTTCTTTTCGCTCATCTCGACTAGAGTGACGTACTTTTGGAGGTATGGCCACGGTACAACACTTTGAGAGTCCTTATCATGGTCCTCCTCCATCGCGGCGGCTCCTGGGCTCTCTGCCGTTGCTTTTGCTTTGCCCAGTAGCGCGCATGTATGTGTGTGTGTGCGTGCGCGTACGTTCGTGTGTGTGTCGTTACCAAGCCCTGCGCATGCGCATCAGCATTCTGTCTTTCTATATGTTTGTTTTATGCTGCGGGAAAATGCTGTAATATATAAACATCAGAGATGTCCGTGAGAAAATAGCTTTGGCTTTGACGCTACCGCGCTACTTGAGCAATAATATAGCTTAGCTACAGAAAAGTTACTAGGTTTTGTAAATAGTGACGCTACTGTCAAGCTACTGAAAAATGTAGTTAAGCTAGTAGCGACGCTACTGCCCATCACTGATGGTTCATTAGCATTGTTCAAAAAGTTAGCATTCCTCCTGTGGATTTTCACCTGATCCACTTTGTTCGGACCATGAATCCTCTCTGCTCTGGTCTGGGCCAGTGTAAAACTATTAGTGATGGGAATAACGGCAATATATATATATATATATCATATATATATATATCATATACCATTACTATATATCATATATATATAGAAAAAAAAAATTGTCCACTCACCTTTGGCCCTCCGCGGGCGGTTATCCCTCTCTAAGCTCGGGTCCTCTACCAGAGGCCAGGGAGCTTGAGGGTTCTGCGCAGTATCTTTGCTGTTCCTAGCACTGCACATTTCTGGACCGAGATGTCCGAGGTTGTTCCGGGGATCCGCTGTAACCACTCATCTAGCTTCGGGGTCACTGCCCCGAGTGCACCGATCACCACGGGCACTACTGTCACCTTTACCCTCCAGGCCCTCTCCAGCTCCTCTCTGAGACCTTGGTATTTCTCAAGCTTTTCATGTTCTTTTTTCCGGATGTTACCATCGCTTGGAATTGCCACGTCCACCACCACGGCTGTCCTCTGCCCTTTGTCTACCACCACGATGTCAGGTTGGTTTGCCATTACCATTCGGTCGGTCTGTATCTGGAAGTCCCACAGGATCTTCGCACGCTCATTTTCCACCACCTTTGGAGGAGTTTCCCACTTAGACCTTGGGGTTTCCAGCCCATACTCTCCACAGATGTTTCTGTACACTATGCCAGCCACTTGGTTATGGCGTTCCATGTAGGCCTTCCCTGCAGCATCTTGCACCCTGCAGTTATGTGTTGGATCGTCTCAGGTGCCTCTTTGCACAACCGACACCTTGGGTCTTGTCTGGTGTGGTATATCTGGGCCTCTATCGCTCTGGTGCTCAGTGCCTGTTCCTGTGCAGCCATGATGAGTGCCTCTGTGCTGTCCTATAGGCCAGCCCTTTCTAGCCATTGGTAGGACTTCTTGAGATCAGCCACTTCTGTTATGCTCCGGTGGTACATGCCGTGTAGGGGCTTGTTCTCCCATGATGGGCTCTCCTCCAGCACCTCCTCATCTCGCCACTGCCTGAGACATTCACTGAGTACGTCATCCGTTTTGGCCTTCTCCATGATGTAGTTATGGAGTTTGGATGTTTCGTCCTGGACAGTGGCTCTCACACTCACTAGTCCTCGGCCTCCTTCTTTACGGCTTACGTACAGTCTCAGGGTGCTGGATTTGGGATGGAACCCGCCATGCATGGTAAGGAGCTTTCGAGTTTTAACATCCGTGGTCTGAATCTCTTCCTTTGGCCACCTGATTATTCCTGCAGGGTATCTGATCACTGGCAGGGCGTAGCTGTTAATTGCCCGGGCCTTGTTCTTGCCATTGAGCCGGCTTCTTAGGACCTGCCTTACTCGCTGGAGGTATTTGGCAGTTGCCGCTTTCCTCGTCACCTGTTCGAGGTTGCCATTTGCCTGTGGTATACCGAGATACTTGTAACTGTCCTCAACGTCTGCTATTGTTCCCTCTGGGAGTGAGATCCCTTCTGTGTGGACTACCTTGCCTCTCCGAGTCACCATCCTGCTACATTTCTCGAGCCCGAATGACATCCCGATGTCATGGCTGTAGATCCTGGTTGTTTGGATCAGAGAGTCGATGTCTCTCTCGCTCTTGGCGTACAGCTTGATGTCATCCATGTAGAGGAGGTGACTGATCTTTGCTCCGTTCCTGAGGCGGTATCCATAGCCAGTCTGGTCAATTACTTGGCTTAGAGGGTTGAGGCCTATGCAGAACAGTAGTGGGGACAGAGCATCTCCTTGGTAGATACCACATTTGATGGTCACTTGTGCGAGCGGCTTGCCATTTGCCTCAAGGGTGGTCTTCCACATTCCCATCGAGTTTGCAACGAAGTCCCTTAGAGCCCTGTTGATATTGTACAACTTCAAGCATTCCATGATCCATGTGTGTGGCATTGAGTCGTAGGCTTTCTGGTAATCAATCCAGGCTGTGCACAGGTTGGTGTGTCGTGACCGGCAGTCTTGGGCGACTGTTCTGTCAACCAGGAGCTGGTGTTTGGCTCCTCTGGTGTCCCTACCAATGCCCTTCTGTGCTGTGCTCATGAATTGTTCCATATGCCCACTTATCTTAGCCGCAATGATGCCTGACATGAGCTTCCATGTTGTGGAGAGACAGGTTATTGGCCGGTAGTTGGAGGGGACTGTACCCTTGACAGGGTCCTTCATGATCAGGACCGTTCGCCCTTCGGTTAGCCATTCTGGGTGAGTCCCATCTCTCAGCAGCTGGTTCATTTGTGCTGCTAGGCGCTCATGGAGTGATGTGAGTGTCCTTAGCCAGTAGGCATGGACCATATCAGGGCCAGGTGCTGTCCAGTTTTTCATACCTGAGACTCTTTCTCGGATGTCTGCCTCTGTGATGGTAACTGAGTTCTGTTCTGGGAGGTGGCTGTGCTCCTCTCTCAGGGACACCAGCCATTGTGCACTTCTGTTATGTGCTGCATCCTTCTCCCATATGTTCCTCCAGAACTGTTCAGTTTCCAGCCTCGGTGGATCTGCTCCCCTGTTGTTACCCTGCCACTGAGCGTACACCTTCGCAGAGGAAGGTGTACGCTCAGATATATATATATATATATATATATATATATATATATATATATATCTGATATATATGTTCATCTGATTATATATATATATATATATATATATATATATATATATATATATATATATATATATATATATATACATATATATATATATATCTGATATATATGTTCATCTGATTGGGCTGAAGTCAGTGCTTCACAGTGGAGCGTGTTGGTGTTTAGTGCTTACACAGAGACAGATGAAGAGTGAACAGGACTTCAGCAGAAAAACAGACTTTTCTAGATGGAAATATCAGCACTATTTAAACTCACTGAGGTTAAAGGTTAAAGGTTAAAGGTCAACATGTGCACCTCGAGTGCACATTATGTTCCAGAACAAAACGAAAAAGTAACGCAATAGTTACTTTTATAGTGGAGTAACTCCGTTAGTAACTCAGTTACTTTTTGGGAGAAGTAACTAGTAACTATAACTAATTACTTTTTCAAAGTAACGTGCCCAACACTGAAAACCATGAATCCTCTCTGCTCTGGTCTGGACCAGTGTAAAACCATGAATCCTCTGCTCTGGTCTGGACCAGTGTAAAACCATGAATCCTCTCTGCTCTGGTCTGGACCAGTGTAAAACCATGAATCCTCTCTGCTCTGGTCTGGACCAGTGTAAAACCATGAATCCTCTCTGCTCTGGTCTGGACCAGTGTAAAACCATGAATCCTCTCTGCTCTGGTCTGGACCAGTGTAAAACCATGAATCCTCTCTGCTCTGGTCTGGACCAGTGTAAAACCATGAATCCTCTCTGCTCTGGTCTGGACCAGTGTAAAACCATGAATCCTCTCTGCTCTGGTCTGGACCAGTGTAATGTAAAGCAGTTATTTACATCTCATTGTTAAAAGGTTTTCCGAGTTTCAGCCGTGCTTTTTGTCCGTCTCACTCTGCATCTGTGGGTTCTTCTCCAGCCTCGCCACATTATTTTAACTCAAAGAAAAACAAATAAAACGTGCATTTTTACAATATATACAAGGTCTTTGATGTTCGCCACGTTTCAGCGAGAGCCCGATTGCTGGACAGAATACAGACACACAAATTCAAATTGACTGCTAAAAACACACAATAATGAGCCATGGCTGTCCTGGATCTGCACTATAGCTGTTTCTGTACAAATATAATCGCAGTTTTTTTATAAATAAGGCCCTTTGTGTTGTGTGTCGGCAGAACGGCTTTGACACTGCACTAATAACGCTTGTTGCTGATCGGGCTTTGAGTGGTTGGAGCTAATGGAGCGAGGAGGTTTTTGTTTTACTCAGAGCTGAATAAACCAAACGACAAACACCGGCCTCGCTGTTATCTCGAGTTGGAAGTGTTCACGAGAAGCTGTCAAACCTCAGTCGTCGGTCACAGCCTTTGTGAAAACTCTATTTAGCGAAAGCCAAGGACCCAACAAGAAGCTTAAATGGGCTCTGACAAACTATCAGTAACTTTCACTTGAGCTTGATTGGTGAATTTTAAAGGGACATGGACCAGCAAAGGGACTGGTCTGCTGCTGGGACCCAGAGTCAGACATACACATGGGGAGGATGGATTTCAGACCTCGAAAATCTGGAACAATCATCCTGAAAATGTGAGACAGGCTTCTTTCTCTGACAATATTTATTTATCCATTTGAATGCCTCGTGTGACTGACTTTCTATCTTGTTTTGAGTAGCTTTGTGTATGAAGTTTGCTTTACACAACAACTTGCCTTAAATGGGTTCGAATCCCTCAACAATGTCTTTCTGAGTGGAGTTTGTATGTTCTGCCCATGTCTACGTAGGTTTCCTCCGGGTGCTCCGTGTCCCTATACCACTAAAAGTTGTACTGACCTAAAAATAATGGATTTTTCTCTTTATCTGAGTATTTTCACATTTACTCCAATTATTCTGAACATTATGTGGCAAAGTGGAGGCTGCTACGCGCTCCTTAAATAATATGACAATATAAATAAAAGAAAGAAATCAGCAACGCCAGGGCAAAGTGCCCAAAATAAAATAAAAAGCGCTCTAAGGCGCACAAGTTCGTTAAATCATTAAGAGGCATAGGCAGACAGTCTGTATACCTTGATTTATTATTCTACATTATGTTTAGTTCATTTATAGTCATTCACTAGGTTGTTATGATTCTCATTTACGTTCACACGAGCCCATCTTCCAGTCACGATGGACTCAGGAGCACAGGTGAACACAAAAAGAAACAGAACAGGGAGAGAAACGAGGGACAGCAGGAGAAACAGCGGTGGGCCGCGATGAGGCCAGTCCTCAGCCTGTGGGTAACATAGAGTTAACTTACTACAAGTAACCACAATGCTGTTAGTGTGTGCAGCTAGAACCTACTTTCATACAGCAATTGCCGAGCACACACCCTTGACGGGTGACGGTTTAAAGGCCAGACCCACAGCCGGCTACGACACACTCGGATCCCAACGAGGGTGGCCAGACGCCAAAGTGACAGAACAGCATGGCTACACAGAAGCAGGGCTCGCGGGGCACAATGCCGCACCGCGGCACTACAACAACAGTTAACATTAGCGGTTGCAACATACCAATATTAGAATTAACACTATAACTTCACTACCTGGAGCAGGAGAAGGGCTGGCCCAACGACCCACAGGAGACGGAAGTGCAGAGGTAAACTTGAGGCTATTTATACTGTCTGTATGCGCCCTCTACTGGACAGAAATATGGTGG